CACACTCTGGGTGATACTACATGCAACTTGATGACAGGTATCTGTTTTGATCGTGCTCTGCGGAATGACTTGTTCAGCTCTCTGGGCCACAGTTCACATCAGAGTGGCTGCCCCAGCGCTCCACAAATTACAACAGCAAAATATGGTGGAGGGGACAAGTGGGCACTGAGAGAGGGTGAGACCAGCTCCAGAGGAAGAGATGTGCTTGCCCTCAGCTGCCCGGCAGGGCTCAGCTCCGTGCTATACCGCTAGCTGCCTGGAGCCCACTGGCCTCTTCCAGAAGGGCTGCTGCCAATAATTTGAACTCAGCTCTTAGGGCAGGAGGAAGGAATGTGCCACGTCAAGGCAGCACTGGGTGGGGCTTGGAAACACACTTTGCAGAGAGTTTCATCAGCTGCCGGCTTCCCCTCCCTGAGCAGGGGGAGAGAGCCTTTCAGGCAGCCAATAATGATGCAAAGTTGTATTTGCACATGCTGTTTCCCCTTCATTTCTGAACTGCACTATCCCACCTGCAGCTGTTGAACTGGTCCTTCCAGCAGACAGCCTGTGCTGGGAAGCTGCTACATTGCTGTCAGTGGGGGTCTAATACTTCACAACACAGTTGTTGAGAGATTTCAGGAAGCACAAGAAGCTCATTCTGGTCCTTGCAGCTCTGCTGGTAATCAGCAGAGGAAGGAATTGGAATTACAGAGTCATTCCCATTAATGACAGTCCTCACATTGCAAAGTGACAAGTTTCCCAAAATCCTCATGTAAAGAGAAGTAGCAACCAGTCTGGCAGGGTTGCCTCACGCTCCTGTGACAGCAGCACGTCTCATTTCCTAAGTGGCAGGACCGGACTCAGCAGACGCCACTACCTGACACAAAAACAAGTTGAGAACAGGCAAATCACTTCAGTGACACAAGTCACCTCCACAGGGAAGCCTTTCTGCCTCTGCTTGTCCCAAGGGAACAACCTGTTCTCATGGAGAGAAGGCAATCACAAACCCCTTGATAAGGTCGAAGCTATTTTTAAAAACAAACCACCGGTTAGATGTGTGCCCTAGAAAGCATCCCTTTAATTAGGCTCCGGGGGAATCTGTGGCTGTGAGGAAGTACCCGCCACAGCCCGTTCTGTCCACAACAGCCCGAAGTGCTGTGCTCAGAGTGACGTGGCTGCCTGTCACCCCAGGCTGCACACCCAGGCTTGCTCAGATAAGCCAGGAGAGCACGGTTGTAAACAGCAGTGCGCGTGCATTCCTTCCACACCACAGGATGGTATTTATAGGCCTGAATGCAGGAAGCTTAGGAAGGAGTGAAGGGCAGGCATCTCCAACCGTGACCCAGCTCCAAGGGCAGCAGGGCAAGAGCCCAGCTCCACCCTTGCTCATTGTACAACTCAGCCAGCAGGCTCAATAAAACATCTTTATTCTGTACATTTATATATAGATGCTTGGGGAACAGGGACAACCCCCAGCATTAGAAAAATTCAAGACAACAAAACAGCAATTATGAAGAACATGGCACCACGAACAGCCGTGCCACAGATGGCAGGTATGAGGTGAGACCAGCCATCAGCTATTTCAGAGAAGGTCACAGCACTCCATACCTGCTTTGGGGCAGAAAACACCAGGGCTGCTGCAAACAGCTGGAGTCCCCCCCACCCTCCAGGCAGCTTTCTTTGTGACCCACTAGCACCAAAGGGAAGAGCCTGCTGGCAGCTGGGTCTGTCCTTGCAGGCACGGGTGAAAGACCACCTCACTGTAACACCCAGACCACTGCCAGGATGGGAAGAAAGAGCGATCCTGCTTGAGCAGCGAAGCAGCTGCTGTCTCACTGCTGGGCTGATGGGAAAGAAGCAGATTTTCAGCTGGGTCAGTACTCACCCCAAGGGACAGGTCACTCCTGTCACTACTGAGCTGCCTCTGAATCCCTTCATTGACACTGCCATTTCACTGGCGTCCCCACGCCTCAGCATGCTCTTCGCAGGGTGCAGCCGCCACCTCCCCACCTGCTAGAGCCCAGCCCAGAGGAGAGCGCTGCTTTGTGACCTCCACAGATCAGGACGGGCCGCTCAGCCCTGCAGGCACTGCCTGTGCCCGCAGCCCAGGAGCAGAACTTGCTCTCCGGATGGTAGAAGGACTGTTAGGGCGTCCAAGTGCTATCACAGGCCCTCACCCTTCTCTTCGGTCAGGGCTGGCAGGCCACCATGCCACGCGACAGGGCTGGCTGAAGGCCTGTTGCTCACGGCAGACACATTTGGTCTAACAGTCAACAATAAAACCAAAAGCCTATGTACAGCTATGCAGCCCCTGCTGCACCCTCCAGGCTACACAGGGGAGCTGCACGACAGTGAGCGGGAGACAAACGTGCTCCACTCTTTGTGCACAGAGTCCTTGCTGGCAACATCAGCTTTCCTCTGACAACAAACCCCAGTGGCAAGGGAAAGAAAAGAATTCTTCCTCCAGGAGAAACAGAAATAAAATCACGCCACTGCCAAATCACAGCTAAACAATAGAAGTCACCTGGTTTTGTGTTAGTAATGCAGCCTGTCCTCCTCACACATTAAGGCAAGCGTGTGAGGAGCAAGCTGGGCTGGGACCTGGAACAGCCACACCAGGGAGCCCACTGCAAACCACTGCTGCCAACGCACAGATGACACCGTCAGCCGAACATCCACGGAAACAACCTGCGCACACCAGCACAGGCACAGGCCCCGCTCTGCTCCACAGAATGGCCTCCTGCCCAGCTGCTGCAAGGAACAGATGCAAGTGCAAACTCTGCCTTCACGATGTTACATCGGGAGGCTGCGCTACTCCGAGCAGCCACAGCTTCCCCGGAGTTAGAAAGTGGGATGCTGAAGGAGTGTGTACACGTGAGTGGGGAACAGGGCATTTGTCCAACGGTAAGACACTCAGATCGGAGTAATGCAAAACCAACACACAAATGGACACAAAGCAGATTAAAGCCAACCAAGATTAAAACGGTTAAAAAGTGTCCTGAATGCATTCTGAGAGGTTCAACCAAGCCCCTGCTGTGGGTAGCAGGGCCTCTTCCATCCCCTGCCCAGAAGAATGTGCTGCAGGATGACTCAGGAGAGGATTGTTATCAACCCAGTGCTCAGAGAGCAGAAATGGGACCAGATCTTGTGTCACAGATGGAAAAACATCCCTTCACTGCTAGTCTTCACGGGTTCTGCTCCTCCCAACCAGTAATTTTCAAACAGTACACAAAGCCAGAACTTGCCTGCCCAGGTCTGCAGGTGCCTCTCATCTATTCTGAAGGAGGGCAGGGTAACAAAAGCTGCAGGCGATGTGGAGAACATGCTTAACTTGCCCCATATATGGCACTGAATGCGAGAAACTCTCCCAGGCTGCATCTCATAGTGCGGAGGAGGGACACCCACGCTAGAACGGGACAGCAGCAGCTCCAGGCATCACTCAGAGAGCCACGGGAGGTTCCATCCTTCTCCCCATGTGTTGGCGAGTGGAGATCTCTCTGACCTAGTGGTAGTCAGAAGCTCAGCTGTCCAGGCCCCAGGGACTCCTCCAGACCGTTTTCTTTGGTGGTGATGGCTTGGAGGTCAGTGACATGCCCAATGCCTTTGGTGACTCCTTCACGGAAAAGCAGCTTGGCTCCGATCTTCAAGTATTCAGGATGCTTAATGAACCTGAAACGGACAACTGCCTTCTCTCCTGTCCGCAGCTTGTCCTGAAAAGAAAAAGGGGAGAGCTTAGACCCATCTACCATACCAATGCATGCAGGAGAGGTGCATGTGGATGCTATGAAGGTGGGGCAAATGAGCAAGTTGCCTCCCTCAGACTGCACAGCTTGAGCCCTTCTCAATATTGGGAAGGGGCGACAGGAAGACACAAGCTCTGGAATATGGAGAGTTCACCTCCCTTCACAGTCTTGCTGTAGTCCATCACGCTGCTTGTTTCGTGAGGAGAGAATTCTTTAACATGTTGGGAGGAAAAGCAACCAAATGGGCAGGATAAAGGGATGGAGTGTGCTCCTAGGAAGGGACACAGCTACTCAAGATACCAGCAGCCCCTAGCTTTACTAGAGGGCATGGTAGAATCCCAACAAACCCCACAGGGAGGTCCATCTTCCTCCCCTTTCCTCCCATGCCTACCTTTCCATGGATCTTCTCTACGATAGCAGTCTGTCGCACGTTCCCCACGTGCACCGTCACCTGAAACCCCTTCCGGAAAGTCGTGGCATGGAACAACAGCACGATCTCGGCTTCAAACACTGAGCAGATGGTGGGGTTCATTTCTGGGCTCACCATGACCATGCCCTGCAAAACAACCCAAAGCTCAGATCAGTTAGGGCCAGTTCCCTTGCTTCTGAACAGCCCCCAAAACCACAAACACATCTCTACTCTGTGACTTGGTCTTGCATCCCATTCTCAGCCTTGTACTCATCCTACTTCGTAGCCTGGCCATTTCCTCCCCTTCCAGCAAGTTTCCTGCAAACATCTCTACTCAGTCCCGCCCTACCAATGGGGGATCTCCAGGGAAGCCTCCAGTCCTGCTCACTGGACCAGTGAGCAACCTGGCAACAGCAGGACTCACCTTGCGCAGCAGGGAGCGGTCGAAGGGTCCGAGGGCTAGCGTGGCTGCCTGCCCAGCCCGCAGCACACGGCAGGCAGAGCGGTTGCGTTGGATACTGCACACTTTCAGCCGGAGGAACTTCCCATCGTCAGTGGGACCAACCACCAGATTCTCGCCTTCTCGGCAGATCCCACTGCCCAGGGCAGAATCATAGAATCATTTAGGTTGGAAAAGACCTTTAAGATCATCAAGTCCAACTGTTAACCTAGCACTGCCAAGTCCACCACTAAACCAGAAAAGCAGGACAGAGTTCATCAGGAGACAAGGAAGAAATTTCATCCTCCAAGATCAACTGCACAAACTCCCCAGGGCCAAGAAGGTGAGTGTCCTTGGACTCTTACCTGGGACCAACTAACAGGGGTGCAAAGCTGGTGGGAACAGGGATTTCCTACAGTAGGAGAGAAAGCCACTAGCACTCCTAAGAATACCAGGTACAGACAGGGGCCATTTTGTCCCCAGTGCTCTGCCACACGGCACTGTTTCTGCTGGAGACACTGCAGCTGATGCCTGTTTTGTGTGGATGTGCTGGAAGCCAAACTGCTCCAATCACTCCTGAACACTGAGGGACAGCTGCCTTCTCATGGGGTAGCATGCAGTTAACCTCTGCTGGGATCGGAGGACTTGCCCTCTACGTTTCCTCCCCCTGCTTGAGGAATGAGGAAAGCAATGCCTTGGGATCATAGCTAACTTCTGCCGACTCTGGGTTCCAGCATGCCTTCCTCTAGCATGCTACAGGTCACATTCCTAATCCAGCAACTTTAGAGCCGACTCTCTGCTCACCACCACATGACCAATGGTCTGCTCATGGCACCTCCCAACACCCTGTAGGGCTTTACCCTCACTTGGCTCAGTTATCTGGCAGCAGTCAGGACTGAGCCTTGCACTGCTTCCACATCTGCAGCAGGTGACTCTAACCTTGTGGGAACTCCAGCAACCATTCACACCCACACTTGTCTGCCTGGCCTCACTTACCTCGACAGAGTTCCTCCCACAACAGTCCCCACCTCTGGCACAGTATAAATTTCATCGACCTACAGCAAGGCAACAAGAATAAGCTGCTCAGACAGCTGTGAAATAGCACTCCAGAATGACAAGTTGCCTGCCCCTTGTGTGGAGGGAGGTGAGCTCTCTGCTGGTCATCAGACACCATCTCAGAGCTTTCACCAGCTCCCACTACCTTCCCATTAGAGGAACCTCTGCCTTTTAAGTGGCAACCAGAGAAACAATCTTATCCCTGAGATGGGCATCCTTGGTTAGGACAGAGCCCAGCCTAACAGGCTTTTTTCAAGGACCGAGTCCATTCTTTACTTTAATGTCTCCCAATAGTCTAGGAGTTCACCACGTCTCTCCCCGTGGTGTCCAGATCCCCCAGATGTTTGTCACATGTCACAGCAATGAGTGCAGTACCAGAACTGGAAACAAACTACCCTTACGCACCTGAAACTCTGTGAGTTGCTGCATTAGTTCTTCCTGCTCTTTACTGTTGGTCAGTGGAGGGAGGATGTTGAGGAAGACTTTTAAGAGATCCAGGTTCTCCCCAGAAACACTGGACAGTGTGAAGATTGGGGTGATGCTGTCAGACACAAATAGACAGGAATAAGCAGAAGGCCAGAGCACAGCTGCAGAAGGTGGCTGGGATTCTGAATGTACTGAGTCCAGCAAGAGGACAGAGACTACTGTTGATAAATGGCTAGAGCAGGAGCCCATGTACAGAGCAGTACTTTGCAGTAACCCCTATCTCAATGGTTGGTTGAGGCACCAATCCCCTGCCAACCCACACTTCTGTCATGGAGAAGTAACTCCAGTGCAGCCTCGGGCACCTTCTGCTCCCAGAGCCCAGAAAAAGGCCTGGGAGGGGAAAATGCCTTCTTGGAGAATGCAAAGGAAACTTGAGGATGTTCAAGATGTGGTTGCCTCCCCTGTGGTCACCCTTCCCCAGCTCCGCACAGCAGCCCAGATTGAATTGCGGGCTCCCAGCAGAAGAAAGGAATGGCCCCTTACTTGGGAGACTGTGCAAACTGCTGTGCTGCTGTAACAGCATCGTCATCTGAGTTCACAAGCAGGGGGAGCTTGTTGCAGCCTGGCTGCTTCAGGATTCGCTCCAGCTGCTTCACTGTCCGTTCCACGGTGGCTTTCGAACACAAGTCAACTTTGCTGATGACAATGAAGAAGGGGACCTTGAGGGCCATGGCCAAGCCCAAGTGCTCTCGCGTTGTGCCTGCTGCAGGAGACAAGCGAGAGTGTAGGTGCAGTAGCAGTCATCACTGTTGCTTGTTTATGTGACAGCTGTGTCTCCAGGCTCTCCCACAGGCCCACTCTAGAGATTTCACCCTAACTGCTTAGTTCATCAGGCAATGAAAAAGCAAAATCATTCTTTTAAACAAAACCAAACATCAGTCCAGAAAAACAAAAACCACCAAGAATTTTTGTGACTGATCTGTTTGCTTCAGAAAGATGTAGTAGTTTTCATTCTTAGGCTAGAGTTTGCCAGAAAACAGCCACAAAAATGTCAAGGAAAGATGTGGGAGAACTCCAGCTGCCTTTTTACAAGGCTTCAGGATTCAGCACCCCTAAGAATATGTCAAAGTTGTTTTTTTTTCTGACAAACACAGCTTCAAATTCCAAACAAAGCCTCTCTGTCCAGGGTACAGTTTAATGTGGTCTACAGCTGGTAAGCGGATCCCAGCTCTGCTCCCCTCCCAGGCACTCGTAGGCACTGGCTTACAGGAAATCAGTAGAGGCTTCCAGACTAATATTTTTTTCTGACAACCGTTCCCAGCTAACAAGGACCCACTCCCCCATTCTCCACTTCTCTTCACACGTTGCTGTCAATCCATGCAGGCAAGGCAACACTCACCAATGCCAGTGTTGGCACTAACCACCAGCATAGCAAAGTCTGGGCAGTAGCTGGTGAGGCCAAAGATGGTTGTTTTTAGATACTTGTGGTGGCCAGCCAGGTCGATGAAAGTGATCATTTTGGAAGAACTCTCACAGATCTCTTCTGCTGTTCGGGAGTCACTGTAATTTACCACCTGAGGAACATAAGGACTCTGTGAGAGAAGGAGCCCCAGCAGGTAAGTGAAGAAAACCCAGCTCTTATCTATCCACTTTGACCTCAGAATTAGTGATGAGAGATCATTCACCATGGGTACAAGAAACGACGTCTGTTGCAAATGGAAAAGTAGCACTCTGGTTCAGCTAAAGGGACACAGAGCTGTGCCACCTCTCTTCCCTCATGTCCCACTCACAGTTGTAGCAGGAGGGTAGTCCTATTCTCCTCCAGCTTTCTGAGTTCAGCAGCCCACTCCCTCACCTCTCCTTTGCTGTTGAAGCCGAGGATCTCAAAGCTGATGCTCGACGTTCTTCCTGACTGGATTTCATGGAGATGCCGGAAGAGGTTGAGGCGTGCTCTGCCCCGCCCGTTGTCCAGCTCTCCTTGCGTTAGGACACCCAACAGGGTTGACTTCCCTGAGTCCACATTCCCCAGCACAGCTACTCGCAGGTCTAAGAACTACAGGAAGAAGAACAGAGAAATCATGAAACTTAACCACTGCTGTGCTGGGTGTACATGAACGCTACATGGCAGTGGAGAAGTGCCTCAGAGAGCTTCCCTCCAAGATGGACACTGTGCAGTGTAATCTTACTCAGATTCTGCTCTTGCTCCCAGCAAACCACTGCCCAGGAGTTGTGATACACTCTAGAGTTGTGATGTGACACATCAGGCTTTGATATCACAAAAAAGGCCATTTGCTGCACCAGGACATCTAAATCCTTCCCTGTTTGCACACTGGCCTGCATCAGAATTGTTGCCGTAGAAGTGAAATAATTTCTCACCTCTGATCCAGGCAATCTCCCCTACTGGTATCTGCCTCAACCACAATCTTGGAGATAAAAAGCGTTATGATCAAGCCTCTTTCTGGCAGCTCTTTAAAGGATCTGCTATGGGCCAATCTATGACAAAGTGCCTCTAGGGTTTGGGCTCCCATCCCAAAAGGAAGCTGCTTGTATGAAGCCTCTAAGTCTCCAGCAGGAGAGGACAGCCAAGTTGCAGGTCCCTACCTGCTGGTTGTCAGGCACCTTTCGGACAAGCACCTCCGTTATCTTCCTTGGAACGTCGCTGTCGTAATCGACCTCCCTCTCCCGCAGCACCGTAATGTCAGCCCCAACCCTGCCACAAACACGAAAGGAAAGAATGAGACACACACACTTGTACTCAGCAGCTCTTGCACCTCCAGAATCACAGCTGGCAAAGTGAATGGGATGAAAGCTGGGGATAGCAGGGAAGGAGCCTCAAGGTTCCAGGCAAAAACCCTGTAACTGCCGTCATATTTCTAAAGCTTCATGATGAGGGAATTTCAGTCATACAGGGGCTTTGTAGAATGGAGCCACCAGCTCCTCAGGGGACTCCTGGGGCCGAGCCTCTCCACTGGAGACTGTTTATGCCTGCGGGTCCTGCACATGAAAGGGAACACGTACTTCTCTGCCATACGGCGCAGTGTCTTGAGCGAGGCACGCATCTCCTCCTCTGAGAGGCCCACCAGCAGCCCATTGTCCTCCACGCCGATCTGGTAGACAGCCTCACCTCGGCCTTCCTGTAGTCGCCACTTCATCTGTGTCACCAGGTGCTCAAAGCGGTATTGCGAGGGATTCACTAGCTTTAGCTGTTTAATGGAGGGGGTAGTTATAGTCACAATCGGGATGCAGAGGGAATCCCATTGCCCAGGCCAGCAACTCCGGAACCCAACACCGTGAAGCAATGCACCCAAGACTGACCCACCTCTAGAAATCACAGCCCATGTTAGTGTCTGCACAGAAGCCACAGGACAGGTGAGAAAGGGTTTCACAAAGGTGCACACATATGGTAGAAGAACTTTCTTGCATCTTGCCAAAGGGATCTGTACCCTGCCTGCTGTGGGGGTAAAGACAGCACTGTGGGACCTATCTGTGACACAGGAGCCAAGTAACTGCAGATGGCAGAACAGCCACAAGAAAGTGACAAATGATTATTGGGGACACCTGCAGCTCTCTCTCTAAAGGAAGATTTAAGGAAAAACACAGTGGGTCTCATCTCCTAAAACAGATTCCTAAAAATGAGTACTGAGATCAAACTCTTCCAGCTCAGCATACTGGGTATTGCTAGGCACAGAGATACAGAAGATGACTGGTAGTTCCTTAGTACCGTGTCCACTTTTCTGTCCCTTCCTGGGACATGTTCCCCATATGCTGTCTTTGGTGAAGTTACTCACTGCAAAATAACCCTCTGGGAGGAAGACCTCCTTCTGCAACCTCAAAGGGCTCACCTTGTACTCGATGTTCCCATCTTCTGCCTGGTCAGAGAATGAAACGAGACAGGTTAGATGCTGTGCCAGCAGGGACTTCTATAGGCATCAGCTGCCCAGATTCTCTGCAGCTCATGCTGACAGTTTCAGAGAGAGGGAAAGTGGCAGAAATATACTGTTAGGTCACAGCCTCTTCTGCCATTCATTCCTACACTCAACTGGAACTTACTTTAGGTTTGTTTCTGCTGTTTGCATCGCACATCATGAAAACCAGAGGACAAAACTAGAGAGGGACAGAGGGTGTAATACTGGTTTTGGGGGATTTTTTTACTGCCAGTAAAGAATAGGGCCAGTCTAACAGTCACAGAGGGAGAGCTCCAGTTTCAAAAAGGCACAGGCCAGCAGATGATTAAAAGTCTCCCTCCTCATCCACCCATGACCCACAATGCCACCCATAGCATCCCACTCCCACCCTATCCAGCAGCTTCCATCCACCCAATGTGCACAGAAACAGGGGACTGGGAACAAAAGTCACTGCCTCCTCTTCTGCACACTGATACCCTTCCTCATTCAATTAGTTTTTCATTGACTCCTTTCCATACCCTTGCCTATCTTCTCTCTGCAAAACAGAAGGGACTACAGACATAAGGAAGCAAGCTACTGTCTTCTTTGCAATACAGCAAGCTGGTCACTGGCCTGGCAGTTCTGGAGAACCACACCTGATTGGGACTGTCTGTACACAACGTACTCAGAAGAACTTTCTCAGGAAGGGCTGGAGCCAGACTGGGTTGTCACAGAAAGACCTGGGTACTCATCAAGCTCACTCCAACTACAACAGGCTCCAGCTTTCCAAAGAAAACATATAGCCAATATTGAAATAATTTTCCCACTGATTCGGTCTAAGGACCACTGAGAAACTGCCTTCAGCCTGACCTCCTCCTGGAGCCTGCAGGAAGCCAAGTACTCTGGCAGACTAAATGGGGCTGCCGACACTAAGCACTTCCTTTTCCTCTGGACACCAGCTTGCATGTCAGGAGAGACAACAGCCCTCTCCTTGCCTTCTAGCTCAGCTCCTAATCACAGTGGTGCTTATGGTGGCAAAAGGCCAATAGAGGGAAGTTCTGAATTGTCAGCTCAGCTCTCGGGCAGCGGAGCTATGCAGTGAGAAAAGGGTACTTGCAGAAGGTTTTCTTCTCTACCAGCTTTCCAGCTCTAAGAAAAACACAGTCACATACTGTGCTGTCGTCTAAATAAGGGGGTGGCTCTCTTTCAAGGCAGCTAAGACTAGAAAAGCAACAAGCCTAGACTTGCTGAGCCACATACTGCACAGGGTAGCCAAGGACAGGAAGCTGTGCTGAAACCTCCAGCTGAAAGGAACAAAAACTAAACTGCGGCTGCAGGGGACAGTCCTGCCCATGGAGAAGATCTAACAGTAGCAAAGTGCTGTTTTCCCTTCATGCCAAGAGTCACAGCCCTGCCTTGTGGAGGAATTGCTCCGTCCCAGTGCAGGCTCTCACATATTTTACAGAAAGCTCACTGAGTGGGGCCCAACAATAGACTCGAGGGCAATGTAATGCTCCCTACAGTGGCAGTCCTATTAGTGTGGTGCCAACTGCCTGAACTAACCAACACACCCACTTACTACCAATGCCATTTTTTCGTGCTGCAAGAGGCAAGTGCCTCACACTCTGTCAGTACTGTCTGCATCTCCATGTAAGAAAACTCAGCTGGGAAGGGAGTCACTAGAACCTGCTGAGCAATGTCTATGAGTTTGGCAGCTGGAAAGGGACTTACACCCACCAGATCGGCTCTCAGGGAGAGATGCGAACAGGATGCTCGGGACTACGAGTTGAGCAAAGCTTTATTTCCGAAGCTATTTAGTTCCCAGACGGCAAAGCACCCACAGATGGATGCCAGGCAGCGAGATACTACTAACAGACAGGGTCTGGTGGACCACGCAGGGAGTTCGCTGGCACTGGGGGCACAAGCACTGCGCGCTGCCACGTCAGACCCCGGAGGAGAGTCCGGGCCAGGAGGGCATACCGCTCTCGGGGCCGGGGCTGCCAGCTGCAGGACCGCCCGCAAGGCTGCTAGCTCAACCCCGGCACGACCCCGCACCGACACCGCC